ATCTTATTGCAAACTTTCTGCCATTCTGATCAAATTCCGTGTCCCAGTTTACTTTTCTTGTTCTTGTTTTTATCACTTTGAATATTTCTTCATAAATTCGATTCCTTCCAGTCACTTCAGATTTTCATAAAACACAACAATATTTTACTTTTTTGTTGCACCACCAAAAATTTCACTCAAGTCATCTTTAGTTTGCACCCCAATTTTATAAACACACTATTCACTGGTCATAAAATAGTATCTGAAAAAGAATCTGAAAGAAAATTTTTAAACTAATCAATACTGGTATATTGTGAATTATATAGATTGGTATGGTTGAAATTTTTCAATGCGGCTCTGGACAAGCTGTGGGCTCAAGCCTGTTAGTGGCAGAGCTTGCACGTCTACAAGTAAAATAGCTACGAAAAGCTTCTTCGGGCTGAATTGAATTTCCTAATTTTCTCTTTTCATTCAAACAAAGCATTTGGAAACTTGGAAATATAACCATCCTATCAGTGGTAACACCATCATTAACAAGAGACAATCTGATGTACAAATGACCACAATTTGGTGTGATTTATTGCTTTCAGGAAAATTCTTTTAGCAGAATGAACTCGAATGTTGGGGAGAGTTTAATAATGATGGTCTTTTTCAAACGACTAATCGATGGGGTAAAAGCTATTTTTCCTTTTTTTGGGCGTTGTCTGCAGGTTTTTAGGCCTGACGTTTCGTCTACTACTGCGGTAGACGCAGTTTCCGAGTTGGCGCTAGAGTTGTCGTTCCGACCGCATTAACTACAATGCTCTATTCCATGTCCCCCCATGCCCCCAATCCCGGGATTGAATGACCTGTGATAAAATCTTTCCCACACGGTAACTGTGTTCAAAAGCTAGAATTTCGTCCATCCACCGCCACTCATTCCTGAGTGGACTTCAATCTGCTGACGGGCACTTCAGCAAAATTGACATCTGACCTCCTGCGGTCGGAAGTCAGTCTTTAGAGACTTCAACTCTCGTTATCTGTTGATTTTGATTTGTCGTGATTTCACTGTATGTAATGGGGATCCCCTTAACCTAACCGAAGCAAGTGTCTATTGATCACGAACTAAGTGTGGATGTGTGTGTATCTGCTAGAGACTGTGTGTAAGTAATCTGTTTGTATACTTACCGGAGCCGTCTGACATCAACTTATGGAGGTGGTCGTTGGTTCTGCTTCGTGGGCCTCATGTGTTTATCCCTTTTGCGAAATCTGGGATCGTCTCTATTGAGCGCTTTATATTGGACACGCAGCGCTGGACTGGTGTCTTTCGAATACGTTTTCTACCTGTTCTCTTATTCATGCGTCTACGTACTGGATGTTGAGGTTCGGGTCCCGGTAAATCTGTTAGGCTTGGAAAGTTTACGGCAGCTCATAAGTAAGCGTTCATGGACGTCTGGATACTGCTGCGCTGCGCACTTGCCCCAGGCGGTGGAGGTATACAGAATGATGGTAGTAGAACGGTCTCGATTAGAAGCAGTTTCACTTGGATACCCATGTTAGTCCTACGTCCAATAATGAGATTGAGGTTCTGTCTGGGGTCCTCGCCAGCTCTCTTCTCTGTCGTATATAGGACCTGAACGTTAGTCTCCTGTTGAGGGTGACTCCCAGATATCTCGCTTTGTTTGGTTCACTGAATTTCTTGTTCGTTGAAGATGACGTTTCCTTCCGGGTGTAACAGCCTCCGGATAAACAGTATCGCCTGACTCTTGTCAGAGTTCATATTGATTTTCCAAAGATTGGGACTTTCCTCTAATCTATCCGGTTGCTGTTGTAAATATCAAGTGACTTGCGCTAGTGGATCTCGCCAGTAGAGCTGTGTCGTCCACGTAGAGTGCCAACTTGTTGAAGTTGTTCTCTGGCTTGTATACCGGGAAAAGGTGTGGGGAAAGAATTGCACCTGTGGGACTCCTGCTTCCAGAAGTCGCATGGTGGAGAGTTCGTCTCCTACTCTACAGCGGCATCTTCTGTCCCCTAGAAAAGATTCGATCAGTACTACCATTTGTTTTGGGTAGCCAAAATTGCTCATTGCACCTTCAGTCGCTTAATCTACCACCCTCAGGACTTGTAGCTGTGTTGAGTGTTCAGATCTGAAATCGAACTATTCGAGATTTCTAGTTCGTTAGTTTGGTCCTCTAGTCTGCCATTTTGCTCCACGAAGGAGTTAAGCTTACTGACAAGTGATTTTTCTTCGGCTTCCGTAGTCTGAGTATAGCAATGATATTCATTATTGCCGCTATATCCTTCCTTGGTAGGATCTTCAGTGCTCAGACCAGGCCTGGTGCTTTCCAAGCGGTAAGGCCTATTGCTATGTCTACCACAATACAAGAGTTAATAGAGAGGCACTAGATATTCAAAAACATATGGATAATTTTAATAGAAAAAAGAGAAAATAAACGTCAATAAAATCTGGCTACCTGTCCTTACAGATACAAGGAGAGATAATCCAATGAAGAGAATCCAAGACACGTCTACTGATGATAATATAAATTCACATCGTATTTGATAATGTCCACCACAGTAGCAGACGAAAGGTCAGGCATGAACACTTGTTGACTATGGTCAATTAACCCGGAAAATAGCCCTGGCCGTAAAAGTTTACATTTTTTGACTAATCGATTGTTTAAGTGGTTGCAGATGATAAATTAATTTGACACCAGTAAAGAAATGAGAAAATGAAAATAATATTTGGGAGATTTCGTACCAGTACTAATAATAATAATGTGCGAGGCCCTTAGACCCTAATGCATTTGCTGTCAGCATATTGAGCATATGCGGCCTATATCTATTACGAGGGCCTAAGTGTGGTTTATTACGACTTAAGGTACTTTTACAGCCCCGAAGCACGGCACCGGTGTTGCCCTACGCTCCGGGGGATATTGAATCCGTTGTAGGAAATGAGAAGTGCTGAATTTATTGTAACTATTCGTTTCCATCCTTAGGCTCATGAAGGCTAATAAGCCTGAGTTAGTCCTTTCAGACTATCAGAGCAAGACGATATTTGTCATGCTGGCTAACCGCACTAAGGTAGAAATCTTAGCCAGACAAATGCAGAAAGCTGTCTTTCTTGCGCTTGATTAGGGCACACAGTATGTATGTTCATGAAATGAACAATGTAATGAGTTGAGGGTTACGAATTCTTCATTAGCTGATATCAATATGTATTCCACAGGGTTCTATTTTGGGCCCTGTGTTATTTCTGCTATATAATAATAATATTGAAAAACTATGTGAAAATATTCATGTAACAATCAATGNAATTATTGGAATATATAGACCGAAATCATCTTCAATATTTTTTCATCCAGGAATCGTAACGATTCACTATTTTAATAATTTATTGAAATAAAATCACAACACTTTTGGAAAAACTAATTTCCTAAAAGAAATGAACTTTGAAAACATTTATTTGACATCTGTCAAGAGTAATAGCGGAATTGCAAAAATATAATACATTCAAAATATCATCGCGAGTTTTTTTACATAAACTACTTTGCATAATTTTTTCTATAATACTCTGCATACTCAACTATAATGCATGGTTTCTTTTCATATGTATGCGATAAATGGAAATTTAGAGATTTCTGTTAGTTTATGGAGGTTTTGTTTTACTACATTATAATACCCAGGTTATCCTTCAGTACATTTTCCATTCAGATTTTTCAGTGGAATCGAAAAATGAGATATTTTTTCAAAAAATCACTGACCAAGATTTCATCATTTTCTTTATGTATCCGTACAGAGTTATCCTTCTGGGTAATTATTCCACTCTTTAAACTTTGACTTTATACGTTCCTCAGAATAGACATCATTTTTTCACACACTTTTTCCAAACACCTGAACTGCAATACTTTTCTTGACGTAATTTTTCCTGAAGACTTGGTCTTCAGTGGCTGCTGAAGAGAGAGCAAAGGTTTGTTGGTAAGTAAGCAATTTCGAAAAAAAAGATTTAAAGAAAGAAACCTGTCTTGTTATTCCAGTATTTTCCTGATACGTTAAATTTTTTGTGACAGATAAAGGCATTAGATCCTTTCTAATTGTCTCAAATTTGATTTGTTATAATTACAATTTTTTCCAGTTCTCTGGTATTTCATTTTACCGGATTCTGTGAAAACGATGTTTTTCGTACAGTAAATTCATTAAAAAAATAGATGAATTGATTAGTAGAATCATGAAAAAATCAATTCATTAATATCAATTGATTTTTTTATGATATATAAACAACTCTCACAATTTTTCAATACCATGTTCATCACCGTTATTTTCTCCGACGTTTTTAGGATTTCAAAAAAGTGACAGCTCATCATTATTGCTATTCATTCTATCGTAATGAAATTCGAAGAATACTTTACAATCTTACTGAATCTTCTAGCAGTAACGTTGAAAATATCACATCAGAGTTGATACTTGTCTCACACGGTGTTCCCCAGGGGTTGGTGATGTGCCCTTCAATATTTACTAATCTATCAAACCAATCAAACATAGATTCTCTCTTCGAATGAAATATAAGTATCTATTCAACTGAAAATAAAAGTAATAATTCAAATATTTCATATATCGTTAATTATTCGTTGAATAAAATATCAATGTAATCAATGTTATCACTAATTTCAAAATAGAAATTAAAAATTGTCACACATATATCGATGATGAATAGTAAATAATATTAATTCAAATATCAGATCCACCTGAGTCATTCTTTAAAATTTTGATTGAAATTTTCCCCTGATTTGACTGTTTTTTTTCATTCTATTCATTTGGATATCTCAATTTTTCGGATATGAAGGCCGTCGATTTGATGGCCTTCACACTGATAATGACACTGAAAATATCGGTCGCGATAGCCTCATCCACGAGTTTATTTGTTACGTTTTTTAATTCCCTGTATCAACATGTATATTTTTTGGGTTATTGTAGTTATAATTTTCAATATTACTGCCACAATTATTCACCTCTCTGTTTATATTATTATGTGAAAAGATGTCTTTGTTTCAGGAGTCAAGATAGAAAAAATACTTCTGGATGGAGATACACTTTCATCAAGCCTTCCTCATTTAGAAATGGTAGGTGTTACACTAGACTTTATGAAACAAAATACCAATTATTTTTGAGTATTCATATTGAATTGGGTTTTGTTATTTGAAACTTTTTTAGAGGTGAAGTATTAGATTGTTTCGAAAGGTTTGTCCGTTTATATAAGTGCATTTCAACTGTAATATCGCAGTGAACACTCATTTAATTTAATCAAAATGAGCACCATTTAAATCAGTGCACTTTTGCGAATGTGGCACAAGTCGATTGAATCCATCAGCATAAAAATTAGTTGTTCAGGATTTGATGGCTGTTTTCGCCTGGTAATTATTGGCGAAGGTTCTACCGGTGGGAAAGTTTTCGAGATGATTTAGAAGATGGTTAGGTTAGGTCAAAAGTGAGTGGATCAATTCGACGCTCCACCGCAACCAGCAAGGGTTTAAGGTGGCTCAGTAAATAAACTCAGCTTCTTAGCGAATCCGATTACTTTATATGGTGAGTGGTCTTTCAGGTCAGATGGTAAGAGTACGGCTTTGAAAACCTGATTCGGTTCTTAGCGGGACAGGCACAGAGTATGTACTCTGCTATTTCATCATTTTCCAATCAGAGGCGACACACTCTATCTTCCGACAGTCCGAGTCTCTGCATAAGATTCAAATGACAGTGACCTGTGAGAAGACCTGGTAGACATCGTTGTTCATCCCTGCTGTAGTCCAACAACTGTTTGGTATTGAGCTTCGGAGGGTGAATACACGCCTTGGAGTGAGCCAATCCTGAAAGATTCTACCAAAAGTCCATAAATCTCCGTGCCATCCAGGTGTTCAATGTTTACTTGGCAAAGCCTGAAGCGATGCCAATGACAGGTTCTGGTCCGAAGAAACTGCTTGCAGCACCCTCCTTTGTAGGGGACTAATTGCCTTCCAGGCCAGTATGCCCAGGAATCCATACCACGGATAATCTGTTAAGTCTTCATATCGAGAAGAATCGTTTTTGGCAATTTGCTACCAATTTAGACGTTGCTCGGTAGGAGCCAAGAGCTTCCAACGCTGCTTGCCTGTTCGAAAATATTTTTATGAACTTTTGTATGGGGTTGTATTCTTTCAATCTCTCCAATTCAATAGCGTAAATTTCCACTTGTCCAGTCGCATAGGTTCCTAGGCAGGTGGATATCTCTGTTCTGGGTCTGCGACTGAAAACACCTGCACCAAAACCTGAAAGTGTTTTTGATCCATCTGTGTACCAACAATGATCTGCTATCAATAGTTCCTTCTTCCGGATGATCCAGTCCTCTTTACTCGGGACCAGTACTTTATAAGGCAGTTTTCAGTTGACAGTTGGAGGCATAATGTCAGAGGTAATTTCCAGGATGCTGTGACTTTCAGTGTCAACCAGCAGTCTGTTGCATTAAATTGATTTGTGCAATTGGCAATGTATATAAGTCTATATGCAGTATATCTAGCCTCTCTCTCCAGAAACATGTGGAAAGCCTCTCTCTGTGAGCCAGAGACCTTCACCTGAGCCGTTTTCTTTAAAGCCTTCGGTCACGAGGCAATTGATCCATAAGTGATCACATATCACACATTACATAAATCTAATGGATTTGTTTGCGACCTACACTACACTACAAATCCTTCAACATGTCCATAGGGATAGTCTTGCGTGAAACATTTCCCAAGTGAGCGTTCCAAATGGAAAAAAATCTGAGGAGTATGCTGGGGATTTGTGGGGATTTGTGGAACATGCGGATGGACGTTGTCGTGAAGGAGGATCAGACCTCTTCTGTTAGCCCATGCCGACTGTTGCTGACACAATTTTTGGTATATTTCGTCGGTTTCCTCATAATAGGACGCAGCTGTGGCTTGGCCCGGTTGCAGTATTTCAGTCGTCTAGTACCGTGAGTCATGGATCCCCGAGAGAGCGAGAAGGAACCAGCGATGCTATCAACTACCACGCTAGAAAATCTCCCTCCATCAAACGAGAGGGTTCAGCCAAGTCATCGACCCGGTCTCCCGCCTGCAAGCCTTCTTCAAGCATCCCCCTTCCAGTGAAGTCGCCAAAATCTTCATCTTCTGCAAAGACAATTGGTCACAGTCTCCCACGATCATTCAGTAGCAAATTATCCAAACCAAGTTCATCCATGTTGGGCGCTACCCAAATCACCAACAAGCACACCCTGGAAATACAGTTTCTGAACAAGAAGAAGCGGCTGGCTTTATTGCAGAAGGACCTAGCTGAGAAGCAAAAGCCGGTGCTGGACCTCTATCAGAACCTTATTCAGATCAAGAAGAGGTTGGAAGAGCTGGGAAAAATTGTCTATCTCGAGGAAATGAAGCTGTTGCCTTACAACGAACAACGTCAAAACGTCGAGCTCGGAGATGGAGCTGGAGAAAGTACTTCCCCGGAAATTATACTAGAAATGCAGACGTCAATGGAGCAGATACCAAGGACGCTGATGGAGATCTGCAAGAACCTGCTCGGTAGAAGAAACGTCATTGTCGACCTCCTCGAGAGCATCGTCAAGTCTGAAGTGGATGTAAGCGATCTCACTGACCAGATAGAAGCACTGAAAACTGAAGGAGCTCAGTTGCAAAGCAATCTGGATGTTGTTATCAAAGAACATCATAGCAAAATTAAAGAAGTAGTGAAGAATTGGCAGTCTTTGATAAACGATAAGAAGAGTGTGAATACTAACACAAAGATAAGTGATCTGGAAGATAGGCTGAAGTTTCAAGAGAAGTTGACAGAGGATTCGAATCAACTTATCCAGGAGCTTCAGAGGAAGCTGGACGATAAGAGAAGCGGACACGATAGATATGTCGCGGAGCTTAACAATGTTATTCATGGGCTCAAGGATCAGATGCAGGTGAGCGTTATTCCGCTTTTTTAAGTTCGCAACAAGGTTACTGTAATGTTAATGTAACAATTTTGTTGAAATGAAGTTTTGTTATATTTTGAATGGGTTCTTGGCGTATTTCAACAAGCTGCTTCAGTAAATAACTTTATTTATTTGTATGAGCTGTCAGTAAGTTTTATCGAGTTAATTTTTCGTGTTATGTAGGTTTTTGTGTTTTCGTGTTATGTATTATGTAGGTTTTTGTGCTTGAAGTTTTGTCTGCAATAGCGGTAAACATTTATCGAAAGCGATGAAGCGATAGACGCAGTTGAGTAATAAAAAGGCGTTTGAAAGTGGTTGAAAGTTGTTTTATATGATTTTTTCTCAGAGTTTGTATCTTCTCAGAAATGTGCACGTATCATTTCATCAACTGGTAAAAGCAGATAAATGCAGATGAAAATAGTCAAAGTCATGTGAGAAACAAATCAATAAACTAATAATATTTACGTGAAAATGAAAATTCACCTTTTTTTGAACAGACAGTATATGTCTACATTCATTTTCATTTTGTTTAGTAAATTAAATTAGTCATTTGCGTCATTACGGTACCTGATATCGTAATATGTTGCCTAGCAACCCTTTTTATATTTGAAGGCAATAACGTTTTAGTTACGAACTTCGAGCAGTTTTCATTCTGAAATGATAATTGGAAATCTGTACCAAATTTACAAGCTGTGTAAACTACATTTGCCATATTGACGAGAACTAAGATTACAATTACCATTTACAATTATCATAAAAAGTAACTGTCATGAAGATGAATCCGGAATAGAGCCACCGCCTGTTTGGAGACACGAACATCACTTGCAACCTTGATAGTTTGAAACATCGAAGAACGGTACATATCAGAAATACGCGACAAAAAAACCGGAAGATTAATTTGTTTTACAAATATGTCGAAAATTGCCGTCTAGTGAGCATCTGTATCACTATCAGTAAAGTAGAGTAAAGACCCACAGCACTTAGACCACACGTGACCCATTGTACATCCTCCCGAGGAGTTGTCCTCTTGGGTCATCGTCCATCCTGTCCTTTCCAGGAAGGTGGACAGATCACTAGGAGACATCTTCTTTATATTGGCAGGTGTAGGCCAAGACTCGCCGAACACACACACTCTTTGGCAACCTTGATGCGTCTCACGGTGGTCTACGCGAAGGTTTTGGAAGGTGCATCAACATTACTGTCGTTGTCTTTGGGTTCCCTCCGTGGAGGTGCACAAGTGAGGGAGCTTTCCTGCAGGAACAGCCGGTTTCTTGCCTATATTCAAGGCGGAGCTCTTGGCGCCCGCCGCAGGAAATGCCCTTGGCTCTTGGAGGTGGAGTGGGGAAGGGTGCACTTATAGTTGCTGCCACTTCTGAATGTTTCGCTCTCTTTCTCCTTTTGGCCTCGGCGCCGCAAATGCGTTTACGCCTTGGCCATTGTATTACATCACGAGGGGATCTGCTATGTCCAGCCTCATTCCAAGCGGTAGATTGGGGTGGACATTTCTGTTCATCCTCAGACACTGCCTTAGAATGAGGTGAGCACTTCTGTCCAGCCTTGGGATTGGTTTTTGTTTTTGTTGTTTCTGTTTTTGTGTTTGTTTCATTCATGTGTGTTCCCACGAGTAGCAAGGGGAGAGGTAGGCTGATTACAATGAGGTTTCGTCCAGTTCCCCAAGGGGATCGTTCGTTACCGCATATCACCCTGCGGCCATTCAGCTGTCGGCACGATTCCTTACACCTTAGCTTGGGTAGGCTGGTACACGGTGACATGTTTTGTAAAGACTTCTGGGGAGCTTTGAACCTCACCCTACTCATTACTGCCACTGACCAGGAGTCCAGCGACCCCGTCCGTAAGGCCACATTGGCTTCCTGAACAGGGCCCCCAGTCCCCTGGCAGTTCCCCTATCCGCCACCTGGGGACGCGCCCGATAGGTAGCCCAACCCACGGGCTAGTAAGCATATTCAATGTTCCCAGAATAGCTAGATAAACAAAGGAGAGAAGGAAGCTGTACTATGAATATGTTTAATACGGTATATCAATTGAATCATCTTCTGTATAATCATATCTATATCCATTGACTAACTTTCTCATAATCTATTACGTCTTTATACGTCACTCTGTATGGTCTGCAATTATAAGCAAACGGTTCTGTGAAGACACAAGACCCATGGAAGAATTACTAAAGCGCATGCTACAATTTCCGAGAAGCATGAAGTTGCAAAATACCACGGCCTATTTCTTCAGTTCTAGTATCAAATGCCCCATTTTGCCGACTTTGAGCAATTTTTTTCTCAAAAACTGTCGATTATTTTTCGTTGTGCCCGTGGAGATTTTTGATCAGGACATTGGAAAGAACCAAAAATCAGCAGAATTCACCGAAACCAATTTCCATAAGGTTTGTGCGTAGAAGTTTGAGAATTTTCCAAAAAAAAGGCAGAGACCAATTGGTTTCAATTTCTTTACAAAAAATGTATAAATCAGGCAATGAAGTGACTTTCAGACACAAACAGGAAGAAAAAGCCCTCTCGAAACAGCTACTTTCATATAAACATTGAATTATACAAAAACATTGTACTTCAAATATTCGTTATGTAATTCATTCAGATATTCACACAATATGTTATACGAAAGAAGTAATATTTCACTCACATTGAACACTGTCATCTTCAAAGGTGGACATCGATGTTTTGGAATAACAAACTTGTCTTACTGCCTCGTTAGCACCAATATCACAAAATGAAGCATTCAATCCCTTCATGAAATTAGGATCTTTTTCCACGAATGAGTTGAATCTATTCATTTAATCGATGTCAATACGTAATGCCATTCAATGACTTTCTACTTCTACATCTTTATGCATAAAACATGAGAATCTTCCACAGAAACGAAGAAATCAATTGATTTCAAAAAATATGTGGATCATGCAAAGAAGTGACTTTCAGATGAAGTGGAAAACAAACTCTCTCGAAACAACTACTCTCATATAAACATTGAATTACACGAAAGGAAAAAAACTTTCCAAATATATTTGATTTTGAAAACAACTCAAAAAATTTGAACAATTTGATGAAATTTTTTTCGAAATCGATAGAACGATCAATATAATTCAATGTATGAAGAGATTTCATGCAAATGTTGTCCGCGGCTCCGCTTTAGATGGCCCATGCGCATGGTCCAATTTTGGCACACTCTCTCTAACATATCGACCGGTATTTCACGTATAAATGCTTCAGAGCGTCAGTCGTTGCTGGTTTATCTTTGTAGACATGAGCCTCAACATGACCCTACAAGAAATAATCCAAAGGCGTTAAATCACATGATCTAGATGGCCAATTGACGTGCCCCAAACGTGAGATAAACTGTTCACCGAAGGCAGCTCTTTATTGGGCCGTTGTTTCGCGTGCCGCGTGGCATCGTCTTGTTGAAACCACATGTCAGGCATGTCCAATTCTTCCATTTCGGGCAAGAAAAAGTCAAGCATCACACGGTAGCGCTCGCCATTCACAGTAACGTTCCGGCCATTGTCGTCATTGAAGAAGTACGGCCCGATGATGCCACCAACCTATAATCCACACCAAACAGTGACTTTTTCGGTACGTATCGCTAGCTCTTGCAATGCTCGTGGTTGGTCTTCACTCCAGTTGCGGCTATTTTGCTTGTTAACGTATCCATTCAACAAGAAATGAGCGTCGTCGCTGAACACAATTTTTCGATTAAAATGTGGATCTTCCTTCAACTTTACCAGCGCCAATTCACCAAATGTTAGACCTTGTGGGAGGTCGTGTGGCTTCCACTCTCGCACCAGCTGTATCTTATAAGTTTTTACACCCTAATCCTTTCACAAAATTTTCCACGTAGTGGAGTAACAGAGGCCTGCGAACGGCGGCGAACCGACATTTCACGGTCATCACGAACACTGGCGGATACAGCCGCAATATTTGTTTCGGTCTTCACTCTTCGTATGCGTGTTGGTGGTTTAATGTCCAATAATGTAAGCTGGGTTCGAAATTTAGTTACAAGCTTCCGAATAGCTCTCTCAGTAGGCCGACGAAACTGCCCATGAATTGGAAGAAATGCACGATGCACTTTCTTCACCGAGCATGAATTTTGATAATAAAATTCAGTAATTTGCAAGCGTTGTTCATTCGTAAGTCGATTCATGGTCAAATTGTAGACCAAACTGAACAAGTTTGACAATGACACAAGACACGATTCACGCGTGATCTGTCAAATGTGTGATCAGTGTTGCCAAAAAGATACCAGCAGAAAAGTCACTCAGTATTTCTATATGGACATTGAATTTTACAAAGAAACACTTATTTTATCCTTTGTGATATATAATATTGGAGAGTACATTGCATTAGCAATTTTTATTCTATAATAACATTTTCAGAAACTAGAACAGGAACTTGAGTATGAAAGAAAGTCTGCAACAGATTATAAAAATAGGAACAATACCAATGCGCAAAATTCAAAAATGTTGAGGAATAAAATAGCTGAGTTGGAGAACGAAAGGAAATCGGCTGAAGCTCTTAATACAGAATTGAACAGAAAAGTCAGGTGAGTTGATGATTTTTGGTGCTACACAGGGATGATAATGGTCAAGAGTGAAGGTTATCGAGGCTGAAGAATTTCAGGTAAAACTGTCGAATGAAAATATGGGTTCTGATGATTGATGATTTTTTAGTAAAAAGATCATAATGGTGGCTATCAAATAATTGAAAAAGTCGTAGTGTTAGTCAACTGACTACAAACCTACTGCAACTTCAGGCAACAAATTATCAATTTTGTAGTTAGATGGCTTGTTTGATGTTAAAACTTATGTCAATGAAATATGTGGAAAAATTTCTCTACATCTAAATAAATCAATTGATATATCCATCACAATACCAAGCAATAAAATAATTCAAAAAATGTTACTCTATAACGTGAAATTGAAAAAAGGATCTTTTCAATCTTATTAATTCAACCACTTCTCCAACCTGATTTGAAAATAAACAACAAAACAGATGTAATTAACAATAGATATATATTTTTTGTGACAAAATAGTTCAAACAAACCACCCAACAGAAGTAATTTCATATTTAAATTAAAAAAATCGTGAAATGCTTCAATTTTATTGTTCAGAGGGACACATTTCTACTTGAAAAAATAGCCGAAAGACATCCGTGTTCCGTTTTTTGCGCTATGTTAGTACCAATTGTCAGTATATATTTTTCGCATAAGTCAACATAGACACAATATAGTATACAAGTGAAAATAATAGGTTGTTTCGAAAGTTTTGTTTATTTCTATGAGTCTGCTTCAAACTGTAATATTTCAATGAATACCTACTTTTTCAATTCAATCGAAATAAGCATCATTTGAATCAGTGTGCTTCTGCCAACTAACACAAGTTCAAATAACTTCATTACCATAAAATCGTGTGCTCGGTATTCGATGTCGACGAAGGCCATTTTTGCCTGTTCCTGATTGGCGAAGGTTCTACAGGTGAGGAAGTCATCGAAGTGCTTGAAAAGTTGGTAGTCGATTGGCGAGAGGTCTGGAAACTACGGTGAGAGGTTGAATTTCGACGCTCAATTAGTTTAATTTTCGGACGGTGATTTGTAAAACAAGCGTTGTCGTGGAGCAGGATCGGACCTCTTCTGTTGGCCAGTGCCGGCCATTTCGTCGATTTCTTCACAATAACAGAAACTTATTGTGAATCACACCTGCGGCCGACCACCATACAGTAACCGTGTTCTTTTTTGGTGGGTTTTCGCTTTTGGGAAGTGCCTGGGTGTCCAACCACTGTCTTGAATTTCTCCTATTGACATAGAGGATCCACTTTTCATCACACGTGACGTTGCGATCCAAAAAGAGAATCGTGTTGGTTGTGACAAAGGAAAGAAGACACGACTTCGAAAAGTCGCAATTTCTGTCAATCATTCGAATTGTTTGGCAACCACTTTTCGAGCTCGTCAACTTTTTCAGTACGTTCTGAACCATCAAAAACTGCATACGAGCTAAATCCTAGTTTTTTCGCCATTCTTCACACAGTTTGTGATGAGTCAGTCTCCACCAAAATCCTCAAATCTTCGTCCTGAATTACTGTAGGTCCACCACGTCGAGGCTCCTCTTCGAGATTGGAATGTCCGGAACGAAATTTTGCAAACCAACGTCGAACATTGCGTTCATTACCACTACCAATGGTTTAATTTAGTTCAATTGGAATTCGTAGAGAAACATTAGCCGAAAATTGCTTAACGATACCATATAGCGAGTAATTAGCTTAAAAGAGGCAAAAATTAAAATTTGATATACACTATGAGTTTTGCTCAAAGATTTTATCAGTAGTGAGATTCCTATGGCTATATTTTCAATTTGAATAACGTCAAATGAAATTTTTTCAATAGTAATTTTCCACAGAAATACTAAAAATGACCAAACTCATAGAATTTCTCCACATACAATGCCTGACTTTTTTATAATGGCACACTGAGTTTTGCCAAAATATTTTGATAGTAACGGGAATCGTATGGCAATATTCTTTCATTTTTAGGCTTCTCCAAGACCAAGCAAAGCACAAGGAAGCGCAATGGAACAAAGAAAAAGAAGAACTGACGAGGAACTTGAAGCATCAAGAGAACATGTTGCAGAAATTGACAGCCGATAAGAGCACATTTGAAACAAGGTGCTTGATTCAGATTACGCTGAGGGCTTTTTCAGAACTTTTAATTCCGTATCCAATTATATAACTGTGTGAAGTAATACTATATATATGTAGAGTGATATAAATGTAGCTCTTAGTAATNCTGTGTGAAGTAATACTATATATATATATGTAGAGTGATATAAATGTAGCTCTTAGTAATCGTACTTCAATTCATGATACAACCTACCGTCTAGGAATGAAACTTTTTTTTGCAACTTGTATGGATAGTCGTTGAAAAATTTTTGTGGAAAGAGAAAATTTGGATCAGTTCCGGGAAATGTTGCTGCGATTATATCAGACAAATGACAGTTGGCAATTTTCAACAATTTTAATTTAATACACTCTAATAGAGATTCAATTTTCAAACAGAAAATAGTGAGTTGTAAATGTGCATGAATATTCATTTTGCCGTTTTATGAATTGGCTCAGAAGTTCCAGAAAATATCATATACACGTCACAGCTCTGTATGATATTTGCATTCGACTTCTGAGGGTTGTCGTTCGTAGGGGTGCGACAGCTGGTTAACGGAAAAAAACAGAATTCAGTTAGTATTATTGCCTATATGCAAGATCAATAACAGTGAGTGGGTGATTTGCAAAACTCAAAACCCATAATAAACTCACTATAGCAATACATCATACGTATAAAATATACGATATGCAATCATTCAACTTGTACAAATACGATATTCTTTATTATTAACAAGGAACAAGAACGTTTATAACAGGGATAAACTTCAAAATAATGATAAAATGAATAATTTTAGTACTGACACATTGATTAAATGTACAGCACATATATACACCCTCTGGTTATTGACAATCTACAAGAACAAGGGTTGCTCGAGAACTCTCACATTGTCACCATTGTTCTTCATAAACAAGGCCTTTTTGACAAACTTCTTCACCCCAAACCATCACACCCCTAACGACCTCGATAGAGAACTCGATGGCATGGGTTACATCGTAACTAGAACCACGTTAGCTATACTACTAATGTATAATACATATTCGTGACTATAGATCTCTAAAATTTTGTGACGCGTACAAGAGATCCAATTGCAATGTTGAGCCAACTCATAAAGTGTCAAAATGCAATCTCGCTTTGGCTGAAATAATTATGCAATTGAGTCTAAACATGTGAGCATCATTGTGGGTAACTGTTTGGTTAGATAGTATTCGTCCAACTCCATTTTCTGATTAACATCAACATCTGTTAAAATCTATTTTTCCGTTAACCAGCTGTCTCCCCTTAATGAACGACAACTTTCAAAAGTCGAAACTTGTGCGAGCTAAGGACCAAGGAGGTCTCACCTTTTAACGTGTGATTCCTAACATGAGTTGGATGGTAGGAAGTGAAAATCGATCGTCCATCCTTGTGGTTCGAACCACCGGTTCACAAAGCGGTGGATTGGGTGAGTTAAGCAAACACCCACGTCAACCCAACCGGCTACCGTCACACTCTTGAAATTTCCTGAAAGTCCTTTCAGCAATCAAGGATAATTCAGTTGGAAGTTCCAATACAGGACTTGGCGTTTTTTGAATGCAATATTGTCTCTCAAATAGCGAATATTCTGGTTGTGTAGATCGCTGTGTTCAAATTAGATTCACTTTTGTTTTTGGAAGATCTTGGTGAATATTAACTTATTCACTCTATATTGCATCACAATTTTGAGATATTGGAGCCCATTTCAGAAATATCTGATTCTGAGTTATTACAGTCCAAGGCTGGACTGACTTCATGAATAGCCGTTTAACATCCACCTGACAAATTATTTTTGGAGGGCAATACATTCCTCGTTATAGGTATTGATCCACTTTATGTTGAATCACTTTTCTGACTTATTGCTTGATATAATTGTTATTATTTTCACTTATGATCCTCTTCCCTGAAGAGTCATGAACCTATAGAAGGCCCTCACAACCAATGTAACTAGAATCCCATGTCAAAAACTGTAAATAAACGTTTCGAACTGATCCTTCTCCATGATCCTTCTCTGGCCGAAGATATATCCATACGAAAATAATCATATCAACAAAAATGATTCCACTAATTTCTCCACACCAGAACAAAAACATTATCTCGTGACACGCGTTTTGCTGACCAAGTTAGCATCATCAGGAAAAAGCTGATGATTTCCTGGTGATGCCACCTTGGTAAGTGAAACACGCAACGAGAAATTGTTTGGTTCTGATGTGTGAAATGTATTTTCGTTAGATTCATTTTAGGCTAGGGATTCCAATTTTAACTATTAGATAATAATGGTGATGATTCGAAACATTATTTAGATGTTTGGGAAAGGGATTACGACTGATTGAGTTTCATTTATATAACCCTGTGGGTATCTTTTATTATTTATTTTCATTTTCAATACTCTGGTCTGTTTTCTAGTATGACTTAATTCATTTTCTACTGGATACTTCCATAGCATACTCTGATTATGTTTGCTGTATCAATTTTGAACTCATCAAATTAGAATTGTTTCAAGCCTGCTACGTTCCTACTCACTTGTTATTTTCTATCTCCTAAACAATTTCTGTTCTTCATTGCATTCAAATTGCGTTGTCAGTAAGTATTCAGTTTCTCGATTGAGAAAAATTTAACTTTCTGAAATTAGGTCTCACCAAGTTTTCTCTTTCTACTCGAAATATTCATTCTAATTTTTTCTGCGAGTAATTCGCCACGAAACGGCTTTCCCGACTGGACTTATCTTTCAACTGTCCACAACCATGACAAAATCCCACCAATCGATCCAAACATCTGCTGGTATAGATGACTGACTGCGCAGGTGAGATCAGTCCGCAGTCTTTGATGTTTGGACGCAGAACTGATATGATATATTTTCTTCTTTTAGGCTGGCTGAGGCGAAAGAACAACGGTTTTTCACTGAAGAGACGTTGCAGAAGAACCTCGATGAGGTGAGAAAGGAGCTGGAGGATACCAAAGAGGCTTTAGAGAAAATGACGGTCGAGAAGAATGAAGTGACAGAAAAGTGTAAGGAGATGGAGGATCATTTGGCTCGAATGGGACTTGAGAATAAAGAAACCATGGATATGGTCAGTAACAGCATAGTTTGGGGAAAAGGTACGTATTCATGCAAATGTCGCTTATTCAGCATATTCTCTTACTTTGTTTCTGTTCCTTCACATTTCAACGAATTATATAGAGTGGTCCAACGAAAAGTATGCACCTTGTTTTGTAACTAAACGCAAAAATGCTCGGACAGGTCGATTTTGCTTTTGAGGGGGACACATTTTAGAAGTATTTTTCTACCCGTGCCTTCAACCCCCTAGCGAGGGTGAGTAACAACCCTAAAATTTTAAAAGGAAAGTGGGGTCGAGTGATATATCATTTGAAAGGGCACAGAATTCTCTTTCCAATNGAGAAATGTTTTCAATGTGTTTATAAAACTGCTATAAATAGGAAATTTGCACCGTTTTATAAAACCTTATAGTCTTTATCGATATTTTGTAAGGCCTTTTACAAACAAAACAGTTTTATAAACATTTCGGCAGTTACTATACTTAAGTTACAAAAAAAGGAGAAAAGCAAGGTGCATACTTTTCGTTGGACCACTCATATGTGTATGAATAAATACGTATCATATTGATTATAATAGTTTCGTAACTGATGTGTCAACTTTCAGATGCTACTTGTGTTTCGGCTAAAGCTAACGAATACTCGGAAAGCATGATGAAGGATATAATCATACAGGAGTTCAAAGACAAAATCAGACGTCTGGAAGAGGAGAATAATTTACATAAAGAGACTATTGCACTGGTGGTAACTATTTGAAATTTTTTGACATAATGAGGTTAACCATATCCCGTGTTTGATCCAGATGACTATATTGGTTGGTTAGAATGAAATTCATGATTGTATTTGATTGTTGATATTGATATTCGATTTTTTTTTAAACAGATTGTGTTAATGAAACAAATAAAAGCAACTTAACATTTTTCGAATACAAGTGGATGTCACTGTTGAGAGTCACTTCAACTTATAAATTAATTTTTTAATAATTTGTATCAACATTATTTTTGAATAAAATCAAATTATGATCCTGTTGAAAGTTTGAACAACAATCAGTCAGAAAATTAATAATTCATTTCCTCTATCACATTTTTAATCTCTCCAAACTCATTTAGAGTATAGAAATTCAATTTCTCTCCTGATGATGCAAATTTTTTTATTAAAACGAGTGTCGAGATGGGTTTTGCAGTTCTGATGTTTGAAAGCAGCGTATGTTTTGAAATAATTCTACGCTAGATGATATAGTTACAATCACAGAGTTCATTCAAACATCACTATCATTTAACATCAATATTACTAGGATTTCTCCATGTGATATGTAACTTAAATTATAAAAATCTCAATTCAATTTGATTGAACTAGGCACAATATTACTCAGTTTATTGTTCGAGTTTCAGTTATGTTTAGGACTTCAATTCATTTTCTTTCAACTATTGGAAATTCAATTTAATTTTTATTTATTATCACTTTTCAGAAGGTGGAAAATGAAATGGTTCATTCATCAAAATAAGAAATGAAGGAATACTTGGAGTGTGTTATAAATAATCGATGTGAATAACGTTGATTCAATTTTTTCTGTGAAATAAATATAAAATTTGATATTGTCTCATCATATATTTTCCGTTTTTTTTCAGGAGAGTAATAAGAATAAAGTACCCACAGAAACGGAAAAAAATGTAATGCTCCAGCATGATGTGGTTCTGAGATACAAACAGTTACTGTTTGAAAGTGAGCAGAAATTATCTGAGAAGTAACTATATATTTTTATTTTTATTTTTCATACCTCGTGCGTTCAATTTTCTACTTTTCTATCGGGTGCTTTCCAATAGTGTATTAATTTTCAAACTGCTTTGTGAACCAAACAAATGAAGCAAAATCAAAACTATCGATCTTCAGAATTTTCTCCTTGAGAATGTTCGGAATTGGGGACGTTTATATCTATCATTTCGACCATTACTGGAGGAAATCTCATCAACTTTTTTCATCTTCAGGTACCAAACCGAAGATGTATATATGATGAGCTCATTCACTATTGTATTTCAGGAATGAGTTATGTTTGGTTTTAGCCTCCATATATTCTCGTAAGTCCCTTTGGCCAGCTTCACTTCCATAATAAATTCCATTTCATACTGTCTAAATTGGGTGCTTTCACATCTGTTGGAAATATCTACCTACAAATATTTATTCCAGATAAGTATGTGATTAAGTATCACTCCTGGATATTTAATCTCCCTCAGGAATCTTGGTCCTTCTGGAGAATGCTACTGCTGTTGATTTGGTTGGACTTATGTCAGGTTTTCCTCTCATTTCATCTTATTTGGATATTCAGGACCTGGTGCATACATTCTCGTATACATTTTCTCCCTATATTACTGAGTTGTCTCCAGAACCTAGTACTTACAACCATTGTGTCTCTAAACTTTTGAACAATAAGGACAATACTCCGAATAGTATCACTGTTTCAGTGGAGAATCGCCAAGATTATTCAATGTTAATTGAATATTGGTGGGTGTTTTTGATAGATGTTTGTTTTTGATAGTGGGTGATTTTTTGGCAGACAACTGTATTGTTAGAATTATTTTCCACTATAAACTGTTGCAATTGCAATTAACTTGCCAGTTTACAAAGTTTTCATTGTATCGTATCGAGCAATTGAATTTGAGATATTACCCAAGACCTTTGTAAGTAACCTTTAGATTCCTCGCTTTAAGGTCCCAGGAGGTGGGAAAACTTACATCTGAAATCAGGCAGCTGAAAGTACGCCAGGAGCACCTCGAAGAACTCAATCAGAAATGTCCGACGGAAAATCTCCAGAAGATGGTGGAAGAAGGCAGAGCAAAACTGACGGAGCTGATGAGGAAGTCTCTTGAGAGCGAACAGAAGATACTCCATTGCGAGAACGTCATCGAAAAACAGAGTAAGCAGATAAATGAGATGGAGAATTTGCTGAGGTACAGGGAAAATATGGCGGGAGTGTTGAAAGCATCNTATTTTTGATTTATCTGTTATTGAATGATTGAATACAAATGTTTCGTTTGTTGTTGAGTACTATAATTTATATATGCATTTGATGGTTTCATTTGCTAAAGATTTCGAAGGTTTCATTGTGGATTTATTGGCTGATCACTACTGATCCTCAAGGATACAATAGAAATATAGTTTCTGATTGAATAGAATACCAATGGTTATTCTATTCAATCAATGACCTGTTTTATCCACGATACATTTTTATCGAAATACAATCTTAGGAATTTAATAAAATTGGTATAACTTACTAAACTGTTATTAATAAATATAAGTACAAACAGTTCAATAATCTTTCAGAAATAATCATACACGAAGATTTTTGGAAATTTATTGTTTACATACAAAACTTATTCAAAAATATTATTTTTTGAATCACTCTGCAGTTCTACTCTCTGTTGTGAATCAGACTGTGAAATACAGTTATTTCCATTTCACAGGTGACAAAAGAAGGCAAAATGAAGGACAGACTAATAAAAGAGCTCCAGGAAAAGATTGATCTCAGAGAACGACAAATAAACAAGCTAGAGAAAGAAGTTCGTGAACTGGAAACCAACCTGGTGATGACCAACGAGAAACGTTTCAAGCTCCAAGAAACCATCGGCAGCATGGAGAAAGAACTCCAGTCAACTAAGGCCCATGTGAATCAGCTCGCAGACATCAACACACGGTATGAACTCGGTATGAAGTGCTCAAATAGACATTTTGTCGATAAAGTAACGATTTCCAACGATATACTCGGGTCGGGAAGTAAAATTAACATTGTAGATCGCGGGTATATACCCCAGAGCAGGAAATCCTCTCACAAAGTATTGGAATGCAATGAAGGAATCCATGGGAAAATGAGTTCGAGGTCTCTGATTGGTTTGTCTCTGAAGCAAGTCGACTTTCTCAAATCCAGGCTTGACTATCTGACACAGGTCAATATGGTTCCTACAGTCAGCGTTGAGGCTGTAAGAACTCATTCTCAGATCTGTTCTACTTCTAGTTTGAGCGGGTATCAATACACTCATCGCAACTTAGAGAAGATGGTCGAATTGACTGCTAAAAGATATGATTTCTTGCAACAGCAGGCTTACGAATCATACGACGAATTGACGAGCTTCGTACGACTGTTAGTGTCAAAAGGAACTCTAGACGAATAAAATGTTAATATGTTTTTGTATTTTCAATAACGATATTGATTTTTCTTTCTTCAAATCTATCGTGAATATCATAGACGGAAAGTAGTTAGACTTCAAATTGAAGGAATGTGAATTTCAGAATTACTCAAATCAAAGACGCAGTATAATTTATTACTCAAAATAGTTCTGCAGTTCACTCGGAATTTGCGTTCATATATCTCCGATCCACTAACTCAGGAGAAATTAAACAAATTATTCAGTATGTTCGCTTCAAGAAAAACTTCTGAATTGTACCCCACTAATTACAAAATCGTTGAAAAGAAGGAAACCATATATAAAGTGAATCAAACAATGTAGTTTTGCGGGTTTTATCTGGGAAACACTGTAGCAGGGGAGCCCACGATGAAAAATGGGGATTTACTTTCTGTTGACAATTCCTATGTACCTACCTATCATTTCATGTTACCATAAATTTTGTTGTCCCTGTCTAAGCAAAGATATTCGTTTGCTGAAGAGGTTTTACACAACCTTGTATTCTCCTTTGTTTCCTCAATGGAAAATTCAATTAATTTTGCTGAAATTAATATTTTGTAGATTTCGATGTGCCAATCGAAAGGACACAAAGACAGAAAAAGCTCCTACCGAAAGTAAAGAGAAACAAAGAACAAACTACTAAGGCTATACATTTTTGAGGTAAATATTTTCACACGTGGATTCGTATAGAAAGTTTTCAAACAGAAACTCATCAGCACTTATTTTAGCAGAATTTTTAAACGATTCTTTAAGAGACCACGAATTTCCATAGAACATCATTTGTCTCACCATCCTTAATATTTGAAAACAATTGATTATATCCTTGTAAAGACAACAGAATCCTTCAATTGCCTAGCAAGCTTTGTGAGATATTTTTTCTGGATTGTTTCGAATTGAGTACTCAAAGAATTGAGACATGCTAGAAATTTATTTTTGAAAATATAAAATATAATTACTTCAGTTACTATCATCATGAATACTATACTTCAACATTTTTTCAATATTTCGGGATACGAATATTTTCAAAAAACTGGGCAACAAAATTTGTGGTGACGCAAAATGATAGGTTATAATTCACTTACATTCAATACATTTCCACCTCTCAGTGGGATTATTTCTAATTAATATTAGCGTACCACACATTTTAGCCCATGAAATAATGATGGGTTCACGGGACATGTGCCTTTTTTCTATATTGTTGAATTCATCACTTATAAAATTATGGTGTGTTGATGAAGAAACATGGAATTATGTGTCATTCATGATGTTAGTAACTCTGAAGTGAGTATCATATACGAATGTTATAACTCTACAGCTAGGAAGTTGTAGATTATTCGATTCCATTTGTTTCAAATTCTTGAATTATCATTGATATTTTTTCGTTTTAGTGCCAGACACAAATACGTCAAGCCCTTCTGAAGAATCCCTGAATATAAAAATAACCGTTGGCTGAATCCAATAAAGGGATTGGGTATTATCATTATTCTAAGAAGAATATATTGTAAATCAGCCAATAAAGTAGTCATTCCACGGAACTATATCTTTCATTATTTTAAAAGTACCTACATTCCCCAAAATCTGACAAAATGAAAATTTTAATGAAGAATTTCACACCAATACGCTTACTTCAAAAAAGGTTAAGTCTGTCAGTAACTCCAAAGTTTAAAGTGTTCCATTGTGTCTTTGAAAATAAAATGAAGAAATAACTTTTGTCTGATCTCAAGTAATATCAAGTAATGAATAACACTGGATTTTTCCCCAACACCAAACCGTTATTTCAACACCTCGACACGTGTTTCGGTCACCAAGTGATCATCTTCAAGAGGAAGATTAATCTTCCTCTTGAAGATGGTTTTGGCTTTACACTTCTCCATCATTAAACAAAAAAATGTGGGAATCTCCCAAAGGACAGAAGAAAGCAATTAATTTCAGAATGAAATGTTCACAAAGATGTGTGGATCAGTACAAAGCAGTAACTTTCAGGCACACACTGGAAGATAACCCAACTAGCCATTTTATATTTTATAACGGTTTTGAAAACGTTTCAGAGGAAGAAATTATAAAACTGTATTTCTCCCAGAAATGTTTTCAATGTGTTTATGAAACTGCTATACATAGGAAATTGGCACCGTTTTATAAAATATTGCTAGTTATCTTTATCGATATTTTGTAAGGCCTTTTACAAACAAAACAGTTTTATAAACATTTCGGCAGTTACTATACAATTTTTCTAGCACTATTCGTAAAGAATCTTATGAAATAATTGAAATACAATTTTATAACAGATTTTTAGTAATTCTAAGTGAGATTTATAGAATATAATGCAGCCTAACATGATAACGATTAAATAAAAAAGTATTCAAAATGTTTTCTTGAAGGCGCAAGAAGTAATTTTGTATTGGACACTAGGAAAATATAATGACCCTAACAAATTAAAACGTTAGGGTCATTTTAATAATTTCACTTTTGTATTTATGAAACTGTTAAAGACATTGCTTGTCTTTCAAATATTGATATTTCAACTGCTAATGAAATTTTATTGACAAATATATAGCCTATTATTAGTAAAATTTTATCACATTCTGGTTGAGAAACAATTACGTCATGAAAAATGAAAACTTTTATGCATAATATACAGCGTGACTAACGGTTGATGGTAGGTTAGACGTTCAAACTTCGTTTGAAAAAATGTTTTTCGAAACACCGTCGATAACTATTTGTAAATTACTTGTGAAAGGAACCAATCTGTTAAAAGCTTGATAATTCCACTGTTACCTACAACCAAATTCTTAAGAAAATAATGTTTCCATAGGAAGTGCCTTTATTGAAAAAACTTCCGGATTCAAGTATAGGGACGTGATATATCATCTCGAAGCATTTTTTATCTTTCAATTTATCGAGTAATATACAGGAGGTTCTATTTGAAAAAATGAATCTTTGCCCGCTTTCAAGCATAATGTAAATAATATTTATTTTAGCACGCCACGTATGATATCGAGTCGATTTATTGGAGTTAATTAAATATTTCGAATTTGTCCAAACTATCGTCAAAATATGAACTTTTCATGAATTCACTGATAAGTACTGATGTACTTAAGTTCAATTAGGGCAAGGTTTGGGCCATATTTAACAATTTTTTTTATTTCGTAAACTGATAGAGATAGGTATAGGACATCATCAACAAGAAAGTAATATAATGAAATGTGTCAATATACGGGGTGTTTTATTGAAGTAATAAAATTGCTAAGACTTTTTGATAGAAGTGGCAACGTCGTAATGCTGAAAATATTTTATAGAAAACTGAATTCTTCCATTTTTCAGTTTGGATCTTTTTTGAAGTCTTCAATTTCATAAATTATCAAATTTTTCATGTAAACCTTCAGCATGGAAAAAATGTTGATCAACAATAGCATAATTTAGCTGTGATGAAGAAGTAATACTTGGAACTGAGGCCTATTTTGAGGATAAAGACAAATAGTACTATAAAAATGGTATCGAATAATCGTTGTATCGCCTTTGAAAGCAACTATAATGAATAATAAAATCAAATTTCAACAAATATTTTTTACATGTCAGTCTACGAAATTTTCAACTATTACTGATATGAACGAAGATGAGTTGAACAAAACTATATTTCTGAAAGATGAAAAGTCCCTTGATAATGACTGAACTACTAGCATAAATAGTTAATTTATACGACTACATTGAAAAAAGAAACTTGGCCATCATCTTTCACACAGTCAATTATAGTCGATTCTTTAAAAAAGGTGATGATGATTCAATCACAAATTATAGACCAATATCACTCATCACCCA